ACTGGCAAAGGAGCACCCTGGAGTCTGAGACACGAGCCACAAAGGGCAGTGTCCTGGGCTTTGCAGTGGAGTCAGAGACGCCCCCTTCTGGGTGGAGGTAGTGGGGAGAGCAGTCAGGTTCACTCAGAAACCGAGAAGGGGCCACAGGGGTCAACTAGTCCCTGGAGAGAGCAGGGGGTGGCATGGATTTGGGGAACGGGTGGGACCCAGTGCTTAGGGGACCTTAATTACAGTGGGGTTGGCTCCCAGCTCACATGGCTAGAGCCTTCTGCGGACATCACTGTGGGGCTCTGAAGGCCAACTGGAGCCACATTGCCTTTGTCTGGCACCCAAGGGGCCGGCTCTGAGCTCCCCTTCAGGTTTGGTTCGTGTTCCTTTGGCCTGGAATGCCCTTCCTCGCGCTTCTCCCCCAAACCCACTTTGTTTCTGGGGCCCTCCCTGAAGCTTCCTTCTCTGTTGTACCCCTCCGTACTGTGTAGGATTTAGGAAAGCTTTTGTTCTTTTCTCTATCCCTTGTGTCTTGAGTAGCAGTAAGCAGTCCTGGGGTTTTTCAAAAAGTTAATTTGCACCACTCAGTGTATATCTTTGGTCCTCCGAAGCGTGACCTCAGGAAGGAGGAGGGGCTTGTTCAGCTAAGAACCTCAAAGTTCATTTAGCACAGCCCCTGCCTCCCACCTGCCCCAGTGGGACCTTCACCCCCACACCTCCGCCCTGTCGTAGCAAGGGCAGCTGGAGTTGTCTGCGTTTCCGTGGGAACGGTGTCAGCCCATCCACGCACCATGAACGGCAACAGCAGCTCCCAGACAGGAACATGGTCCCTGTCACAGCTCTGGCCCATCCTGATCTTGGCACATGATTGGCGCTAATGTGTGTTTGTTGACTGACTGGCTGACTGACCAGTCCTGAGCTCTGTGGCACCATGGGCTGGGCTTGCACAGAAGACAGAGATCTTGCCAGGAAAGGCTCACAGGTTCAGGATCCTGGAGACATGAGTGCCTGGAAAACTGCATCCAGTGCCCACAGCTGCTCCATCGTGCAGCATCCCCTGGTCGCAGTGAGATTTCTGCAACTTCTGAGTCATCCCAGAAGACAGGATGTTCCTCTTTGTGCTCGCAGAGGACTCTGTGATTGGGCAGACTGCTCTGTGGCAGGGCTAGAAAAAGCCCTTTAAAAAGTCAGAAAACCACACACTCCCCCTCTGCAGGCCCCTTCCGCAGTGACATTTCGCAGAAAAGCAGAGGCTACACCCTTAACCCTAGCACCTCTGATACCTGCTGCAGCGGCATCGCTGGGAGCAGGTTCTCAAGCCGCTAAGCAGGGCTCTGCCTGAGGCCCTGGTCCAAATGCAGGTTCCTGGGCCAGGATCAAAGCATGTGCATGTGGGAGGGTTCTCAGCACACTCAGGCTGAAGGCCATGCTAGGCCAGGGGTTTCTAGGAGGGGAACATGTAGAGGGCAGGGGGAGTGAGGGCCAAAACGTTTACTTAAAAAACTTCTATTGCATCTCTTCAAATACTTTTAGAAATTTTTTTTATCTGTACTGGGGATTGAACTCAGGGCTTTATGCATGCTTGGCAAGTGCTCTCCCACAAAGTTACATCCCCAGCGCCCCCCGCCTTTTTTTTGGTTTTTTGAGACAGGGTCTCACTATGCAGTTGAGACTGACCTGGAACTCACTACGTAGTTCAGGCTGGTCTCGAACTCACAGCGATCCTCCTGCCTCAGCCTCCCGAGTGCTGGGATTACAGGTATGCAACGCCATGCCCGGCCCACAGTCTTGTTAACTTGGGCTTCAACTTGAGTCGCCTCAGCCTCCCAAGTAGCTCAGGCATGTACCACTCACTGTACCTGGCGTAGAAATCTTCTTTCTAATATATATAATATATTAATTAGTGCATGTTCTTACAGGTATAAGAAATATATGTATGTATGTGAGCCGATATATTTTCACTGCTGGGTTGTTTGATTTTTTTTTTTTTTTTTTACCAGGGATCGAACTTGGGTCCTTGCACTTGCAAGGCAGGCGGTGGAACCACTGAGCTAAATCCCAGGCCCTGGGTTGTATGATTTTAAATAATTAGGAGAGTGCCTGGGCCAGGACTGATGCTTACAGATCTTGCCCTGGCACTGATCCATCAGGTGATCTTGGCCAAGTCACTGTCCCCCTTGAGCCTCAGCAGAGTGGAGGACGGGATGGGAGTCAGAGGAGAGGCCCTGAGCCCCGGGTCCGGCGCTGGGGTACAGTCTGAGCGGGAGTCACCACTGTCCCTACCCAGCCCTTGGAAAGCCAGCCTTTCCCGAGCCTCCCAGTTCCCTGGGGAACTCGGTGTCCAGAAATAGTCTCCTGCTAACTTTTCTCCACTGTGCAAATCAAGGCTGCTGACCAGGAGCCAAGAGCTCACGAGGCAGAAGGACAAACACAGACTGTGTGTCTGTAGAGGCCTTGGTTGTTCTCTACTTGGCTCAGGCTGTGGGTGGAGAGGCTGGCTTCCACACCGCCTGCCTGGCCCCTGTGTGGCTCTGGGCAAAGGCGCGCCCTCTCTGGGCCTGCAGCAGAGGCCTCCGTGTGAGCCCCGCAGGGACGTGCTGCTTGTGCTTCTTGAATCCTCCAGAGCAGGGAGCTCCTAGAGTGTGCTGTGCCCACGGCTTTGTCAGCTGTGTGTTTCCTGGCCTGGCACAGAGTTTGGCACAGAGGAAATGCTGGGAAAGCATTGGGAACAGCAGGAGAGGCGGAAGCGAAGGGAGATGACAGGGAAGAGAGGAGAGGAGAAAATGGGAGAAAGATCAAAGTGGAGCCTCTCTCGGGCCAACCTTCCCTGCCACCGCAGTCCCTCCTAGCAGGTCCGTCTGCAGCCAGACTTCCTGTTCTGCCTCCCTCTCCCAAGCAGCAGAAAGAAATTTCTAAGCCGCACCTCGGCTCGTGCTCTGGGCCAGGACAGGACCAGAGCAGCCAGCCTGGATCTGCCCTCTGCTGTCCTGCACTCCCTGAGGTCACTGTCCCCACCCCTGGCCCCTCACCGCAGCCCTCGGAAACTGCTTAGATGTCCAGGAAAGCACCTGGTGGCACAGCCCCGCCTGCCCCAGCTTTTGCACTCACTGGTTCTTTCCCCTGTTTTTCTTTTTGGATGAAATTCACCACTTAAAAGAAATTAAAGGTGACCACTTAAAAGGGAACAAGTCAGTGCATTTAGCACACAGTGCTGGATGAGCGTCCCCCTTATCCATTCCAAGACATTTTCGTCCCTCAAATGAAAACCCCATCCCTGTGAAACAGTTATGGGCCACCCTTGTGTCCCCCAGCTTCTGGCACCCACTCTCTGCTTCCTGTCTGTGGAACTGCCTAGGGAGGTCATCGCTTGTGCGTGGAACTGTACGCTGCATGGCTTTCTGTGTCTGGCTTCTCTCGTACAGTGTGGTGATGCGTTTCTCTCACGATGCATTTCAGCTTCATCCCTTTGTAGAATGGGCCAGGACTTCTTTCCTTTTTGATTCCTCCTTTCACTCCTTTTTGCCTGAGTAACATTACAGTGTATGGAGACACTGCAGATTGTTTATCTACTCGTCTGGCAGTGGACACTTGGGCTCTCTCTTCCTTTTGGCTGCTGCGGACACATGTGGGCCCTGTATTTGTTTGAACACCCGTGTTCAGTTATTTTGGGGACTGAAACGATCTTTGTACCCTCCCTTCGCTGTCAGCCTGAGTTCTTACCTGAGCAAAGGTTCCCTGGAGAAGTCGCTGCTTTGGCTCCTTCCCTGACCTCTTTGGCCTGTGTTGCCCAGGCCCAGCCCTCCCCACCATTTGTAGTTGCTGGTTTTCTGACTGTCGCCACCCCCCCCACACCCCGGGCTGTCACCTCTCCCGTGAGCAGGGCCCACACCCACGTACAGAGCTGGCACACAGTGACGTTGAAATGTGCCTGCCAGTCACCGGGCGCTTTATCCTGTGTCCCGGAGAGTTTTGTAAAAGCCTGGGCAGGGAAAGGAATTGTCATCTCAGTTTTACTGATGAAGCAAATGAAGACAAAGTGACTTTGCCACAGTCACACAGCTTGGGAGGGATGGAGCGAGCAGTTGAACCAGGACCATCTGATCCCTGAGACTTGGCTGGTAACTTCTTGTTCCAAATGAAGGAGGAGCCTCTGGGTTTAATGTTGTCTATTGACTGTGTCCCCACAGGCCCCCGGCAGGATGGCCGATGCCGAGAGGAGGTGGCAGTGACTCTGGTGCCCAGCAGCAGCTCCGTCTCCTGAAGATGAAGTGGCCCAGGTGAACGCCAGGCCTATGGCCAGCTCCGGGACTAAGGTGCGCTGGGCTGGGCCAGGCCCGGGGAAGGGACCCCAGCGGCGACACTGGGCCTGGGCGGAGGAGGAGAAAGACAGAGACAGAAGCAGCATGCGAGGCTGGCCAGGTGAGCGGCCCTTCCCGGGTGCCGCTAGCCCGGAGCTCCTGGAGGACTTCTGCCTGGCCCAGCAGCACCCACCACCCCTGGAGTGGGACCCAGACCTGCAGGGGCCGGCAGGGTCTTCCGAAGAAGGTGAGGCTGACTCCCCCTCCCCGACATGGTGTCCTGTCCCCCGAAGACCCCCACCTTCTAGCAGAGGGAGGGGACCAGGAGAAGCTTTAATATTAAATTTTTAATATTAATATCTTAATGTTAAATTCTTCTATGTCCATAACTTCAGATTTGTAAAGATTTCAACTGTATAAATAATGCTGTTCATTGCCAAAACACAGAAAATATAAACAAGAGATAAAATTTAAGAATCACTTATTATTCTATCCCCAGTAACCATCCTGCTCCATGGGCATAGATATGCAAATGTAATATGAATGTAAATAGCGCGCTACGCTTCATTGTCTCGTGCTCTTTTGTTAACTTAATAGATAGGAGCACGTTCCCAGCTCTCCAAATATTCTCTTGTAAGTCACGCCTGAGGCCTGGCTGCATAAATAAATGGTTGGGCCGGTCTACTACTGCTGACTATTCCTAGTTTTTGCTGTTATGAGTAATGCAGAGATGGATGTCATTAACACATTTCTGCACAGTTGATTTGGTAGTAACTGTGATAATTTCAATTGTTTCATTCAGGGATTATGCCCACTTTAAGGATTATTTGGATTCCCATTTGACACTGGGCACATCGGCATTCTGGGTTTGCTACAACAGCTGGGCTCTGTGCATGAAAACCTTAGACTGCTTCCCCATCTTTGCTTGGCAAATCACCTCCTCTCAGTCTCCATTTCGTCCACCGGGAAATGGGAGTGGTAGCTCCACTGAGAATAATAAATTTGACGCGTGGGCACTATTGCTTTTATATTATGGATGAAATGTGCCTGTTTCCAGACCCTGTGGATCAGCAGGCCCCACGGAGTTTCGCAGAGAGACCGCTAGGCTGGCAGTGGATTGTCACATACCTAATATCCTTCCAACAGGGCTTGCCCCAGCCACCCCCCTTGGGAGCGTTTCTGATTTCCCATCAGAGACCAGGGCTCAGATGCACTGGGAGACAAGGCAAAGGCGTCTCCTTCCGGGGTCACATTGCAACCCCTGCTATGATGTAACAGCTGCTGCATGTTCTGTGCCTTACTGTGTGGCCCACACAGGGCTGGGTGTGGCCGTGCCTTCTTGCCCTCCCTCCACACCCCCTTCTCCAGGTAGGAGGGATTAGCTTCAAATTCAAGTTAGGACTGCCAGAGGTCAGTGACTTGCCTATGGCCCCAGGAAGGGGTCAGGGAGATGGGGTGAGCCAAGTGCTCCTTGGCTTTTCACCCTCCCACCCCCACAAGACTCCCAGTGGTATAGACAGATTCACCTGTTAGGCTATGGCTGGGTTCTAGGTCCAGGACTGCTCTGAACCACACTGTGATCTTTGGCAGGTTACCTAATGTCTCTGGGCTTCAGATATGCTGCTGTAAACAAGAATGACTTGCAGAAGGAGCTTTTTTGTCATTGAGAGATAGAGATGACCAGGGTAGGGGAAAGAACATAGCAGAGCAATGGGCAATGTAAGGATTAGGAACAAGTCTACGCCTGATGTTGCCCAGACTGTCTCATCAAACTTGGATCTTTCCCAGAGGCCAACACAGGATCTAGTGCAGAGTAGGTAATGCCATGTATGACTGGTATGAGATGGACAGAAGGATAGGTGAGTGAGTGGGCAAGTAATGAATGGGGAATGGATTGCTAGATGGTAGGATGGATGGGTGGGTGGGTGGGTGGATGGATGGATGGATGGATAAATGCTTACACAGATGGATGGTTGGCAAATATTTCTTGAGCAACTACTGCATAACAATTACAACTCCTCATTTCTTGGGAGCTTTATACACCTCCCTCCCTCCCTGCTTTCCTTCTTTCTTTTCAGTCAACAAATAATACTGAGCATCTACTCTGACAATGCAATAGAGAGCCAAGCCAGTGGAGGTCCTCAGTCTCCTAGAGCTTGAAGGTATAGGCAATATTAATGAATAATCAAGTGGACAGCTGCCACAGTGACAAATACTACAAAGTCAGGGTCTCCAGTCCAGCAAAAGCCTATGAAGGAAGAATGACACCTAGTCAGGAAGCTCCCAGACCTTGGGAGGTCAAGGTTGAACTAGCATCTGAAGGACAGGTGGGGGCTCAGTGGGTGGGGCTGCTGGCAAAGGGCCGAACCCATGCCTGGGGGGGAGGGAAGGTATGCAAATGCTAGGCTGGTGGAGGGAGAGGCTGAGGGAACCCACAGAGAGACGGATTCATGAGTTAATGGGCTCAGAGTGGCAGGGACTACAGGACCATGGGAAAGGCTGGGCTTTTGTCCTGAGGGCAGCAGGAAAACATTGGTGCAATTCCAGATGGGGGAAGAGGGTGAGGACTGAGGGGATGGTTCCATGGGGACTGCAGTGGTCCGGGCCCAAGAAGACACGGGCTTGAGAGCAGGTAGGGGGTGGGCCTCAGAGCAGTGGTGAGTTTGTGAGCTCCAGAGGAGGTAAAGGTGATGGCGCCAGGTGACACATTGGACTGGGGGATGAGAGGGAGTGAGAAGATCGCGATGCTTCCCACACTTTCCGTCTTGTGGAATGGCATTGCCATTGGCTGAGGTGCGAGACATCGGGGGAGACTGGATTTGAGGTTTAGGTTTGAAGGACCTTTGAGACCATAGAAGAGGTATCACATAAGTATTTGGCTGTACAGGGGCTCCTTGTGCATGAAGCAAATGAAGTCAAGAGTCAAGGTGGCTTGGGGCAGCGTCATCGCACAGTGAGTCCAGACCCAGTGCGTGCTAAATGAATGACCTGTCTTTCCAGAGACTGAAACAGAGGTTGTGGGCAGCCCAGAACACATGGACAGCCCAGAAGAAGTGAACAGCCCAGAAGATGTAGACAGCCCAGAAGGTTCCCCTCTGCCTCTCAGCTGGCCCCCACGGCAAGACCATCAATCAGACATGACTGAAGAGGAGATAGATGTGGCCCCTGCAAGTCCTGAGGTTGAAGAAGCTGGGGACAGCTCCCCAAGATTGGGGTGTAAGGCCAGTCCCAGCTCAGAGGACAATGAAAACACCAGCCCCATGGCTCTGGGGTGGGGTCAGGCCAATGGAAACAGGCCTTTGGAACATTCTGAGGTCAACCCATCTGTGGAACTCAGCTTGGCCAGGTCCTGGAGCAGTGGGACCGTAAGCCTCGGCCACCCTAGTGACAGCCTTGATTCTACCTGGGAAGGAGAGACTGATGTCCCCCCGCCCACTGCTCTGGCAGAAACCCTGCCAGAGGGCCCCAGCCACCACCTCCTACACCCAGATGACAGAATTGGACACAGTGTTGCCCAGGCGACACCCATGGAATTCCAGGGCACCTCAGCTCCGCCAGCCTGGGGCCCCCAGTGCACCGCAGGTGGATGGAGGACAGACCCTACCAGCCTGCCCAGCTCGCAGCTCAAGGACCAAGCCTGGAAACGGACAAAGACATCACCTAAGCCACTGCCCTCCCGATTCACTGGCTCCCGCAGCCCCCTGAATCCTCGGCCTAAGCTGGCCCAGAAGCACAGATTGCAGCCCAGCCAGGGGGCTACTCTGGCTAGCTGCTCCTCTTCTGATGCCCCCATGTATGGCCGGGGGCGTCTGAACTACCCACTCCCTGATTTCTCCAAGGTGGGGCCCCGAGTGAGGTTCCCCAAAGATGAGAGCTACCGACCCCCCAAGTCCAAGAGCCACAGCAGGCAGCCTCAGGCCTCTGATGGACCCCTGATCTTCAAGTCTCCGGCTGAGATTGTGCGGGAGGTGCTGCTGAGCAGCGGAGAAGTGTCCCCGGCCAAGGACCCACCCCCAGCCCATCCAGTCACCAGGGTACCCCAGGAGTTTCAGACACCTGAACAAGCCACAGAGCTGGTCCATCAGCTCCAGGTGAGCAGGACTGGGATCCCTGGGTGTGTTGGCCTGGGAGGGAGACAGGTCAGGCTGGGAGTGCCCTGCTGGTGGAGGGAGGGTTGTCAGGAGCAAGGAGACCCTAACAGAAGGCCCAAATTCAAAATAAGAGGTGATTGGTCTCAGGTTTCAGGGAGGCTGTTTCCAACTTCTGTGAAAAACTTCAAACATATTTAGCATAGCAAATAGCATAATGATTGCCCATCCTGACCCCCTCCACCATGAGCAGCCTCTGCCAGCCTGTTCATGTTGGCCGGACCTCGTTCCCTGGGCCCCACTGGGTTATTTTGAAGCAGTATCTCAGGCATTCCATCACTTTATAATTTAGTGTGTCTAAAGATAAAGACCTTATCTCTAACAGAGTCACAATAACATCACCATACCTAAAAGCTAACCCCGGTTCCTTACTACTGTATGATCAGATCTCGGCCTGCACCTGTCTCACCGATGGCATGTCCCTCCCTGTTTGAATCAGGCTCTGAATGCGGCTTGTGTGGCATTTGATCCATGTGCCTTTCAAGTCTCTGCTCTCCCTTTCTCTTTTCTTTTGTTGTTTTAATGTTTTCATTTTGATTTGGTTTATACTTCTTTTTGATGATATCTTTTAGTGTCTCCTCTCACCTCTTCCTGTAACTGAGTGTTGAGTCACCCTGTCCTCTCTTCCCTCTCCTCGGGTAGGTTTAGAGCAAGAGTGTCCTTGGGTTATGGCCAACTGTGTGTGTGACTCTTTCCCCTCTGGACCACAAGCTCCGCAGATATCACAGGTGGCCCCTTGAGGAGGCAAAGACCTTACAGAACTGTTGGTTACAATATGCATGGCCCCTGGCGGCCATTGCTCAATCCAGTTTTCATTTGGGGTGACAAAATGGCAGTATTCTGATGTAGTCCAGGTTGGCCTTGAACTCACTGTGTAGCCCAGGCTGGCCTCAAACTCATGGTGCTCCTCCTGCCTCAGCCTCCTGAGTGCTGGGATTACAGGTGTGTATCACCATGCCCCGCCATTAAAATGACTTCTAAAGTGCATACCACCTAAGCAGTGGAAATGCTTTGGGAACGAACCATGCAGTGAGAAGAGCTGATGTGACCGAACCCCGCAGAGCCAGTAGATGGGCAGGGAGTTTGGGAAGTGCCCCAGATGGCTTCTTCCCCCCAGGTCGGGGCTCCCAGCGAGGGGCATGCTGCGTGCCCGGCATGACCACCTTGCTCTCCGCTCCTGCAGGAGGATTACCACAGGCTCCTCACCAAGTATGCCGAGGCCGAGAACACCATTGACCAGCTGCGCCTCGGGGCCAAGGTACAGGGCTGGGCTGGACCCCCGAAGATGGCTTTGTCCTCAGTCTCAGGGAGAGGCCACTACGTTCTGCGCTGCAGAGCCACAGTCCTGGTTCTCCCCAAGGTCTCCCTGTGACTTTGGGCTGGGCCTTGTCCCCTCTGGGCTCTCTCCCTCACTTTGTTGCACTTTGATATTTCGGAATGCTAGAACCTGGGGTCCCCCGGAGTTTCGTCAGAACTTTCTCCTTCTAGTTAGGCTCTGGGGTTAGGCCACCTGGGCTCAACTCCTGACTCCCTTACTAGCCAGCTGTGTGTCCCTAAGGAGGTGATGGGCCCTCCCTGGGCCTGGTGGGAGTAGCACAGAATTTTGGCTAAGCCCCTGGTGCCGCTGCCTGGGCCGGTCTTTGCCTGTCTCCTCTGCCATCTCCCCCACAGCCTCTCCCCATGTGTGTGGCAGGAAGGGCGGGCAGTCCACCACCCCGCCATCTTGATCAGAGGCTGTGCATGGGGACCTTCCTCTTTCTGGGTGAGGCAGGAAGTGGAACCTGTCGGAGCCCCCGTGGTTTCTGCTTTCCCCATACTCCCTTCCCCTTCAGGCAGCTGTAGAGGAGGGCTGGTGCTTGGGCTGCCTTCCTTCTCACAGGGTCCTCCCACCTTCCTAGGCAGGCTCACCCTGCCATACCCCAGGCCCCTGCCAAGTGCTGTTCTCACGGTCTAGAGGCTCCTCCAGGAAGTGCGGGTGGGGCAGCCATGGTGAGAACATGGAAGGGGGCTGCACTGGGATCCTCCTGCCTCAGCCTCTCAGAGTTCTGGGATTACAGGTCTGAGTCACCACATGGAAACCTGTTCTGTCCAGGAATGTTCTTCTGTCCCACTCCTGCCACCCACTGGGCACATCTGTGAGAGGAGCTTCCTTACATCTTCCCCCGAAGCTTGAGAGCTTGACTTCTTGTCAGGTCTCCCTGCAGACCAGAGTTTCAAAGCACGGAGCCAGAGCTGGGGATGGCCCAGGACCTGGGGCAGGGGACGGCAGCAGAGGGCTGGGTGAGGCGTCCCCTGGGAAGGCCAGGTTATGGTCTTGGACTCCCCAGAGGTCAGAGGAGAAAGGAGCTGATCATGGGCCCCAAACCCTTAAGCAATCCCAGTTTAGATTGGGAAACTGGGGCCTCGGATGGGATTGGGGCTGCTAGAGTGGGGAACCCTCAAAGGTCAAGAGGGGTGGGTGGGGCTTCCCCCTTCATCCTCCCTCCTGCTTCCTGCCTGGGGCAGGCCAGGGACTTCACATGAGTGGGAGGTGTAAAGGTGTCCACTGATGCCCTGCACCAGCAAGGGCACAGGCCACATGGATACCTGGGAGAGATGGGGCCCGGGCCTGGGGACCCCCCCATGGGCTCTGAGTGGCTTGGCAGGTGCCCGGAGCCCAGCTCGTGTGAAGGGGTGGGAGAGGTTAGAATGGGCTCCCCTGCCTCACATCCTCAGAGAAGGGACATGCAGCAGCAAGCAGGGCTGTACTCTGCCCCTGGAGAGCATAGAACAGGGCCCCCGGAGGGAGGAAGGGCAGCACCCCAGGACCCACAGGCTCAAGAGGAGCCGGGAGTCCTCGCTCCGGAGGCAGCCTGAGGGGATTCCAGAAGGCAGCCTGCACGGACGCCTTGTTGGGAAGCCCATTCCCCAGCTGATCCTTGGAGTGAGCCATGGATGTGACCTTCCAGGGACCTGCTGAGCCCCTTCAGCCTGCTCTGAGCGCACTGGAGGCTGGGCCCACCCGGGAGGCAGTCATCCTGGGAGGCAGTCGTCATCCCGAGGTGGGGGACCAGGCAGGAGACACTGCTGAGCTGTCCAGAGGCGCTGGCCCAGGCCTCTGTCCTCTCTCAGGATCCCCGTACCTGCAGACGCTGACGCCGAAGCTGGGTTTGCTCAGTACCCACACCCCTGTGAGAGGTGGGGTCCGCTGACTGCACAGTGGGTGCTCCTTCCCAGGCCTGGGTACTTCCGGTCTGGCACCCTGTGGGTGGCAGTGACGGGAATGGTAGTGAGCGATACTGGTTGACTGCTTTCCAAAGTGGTTACACTGGGCCTTGGGACCTCAGACAACTTGCCCAGGATCACTCCACACATAGGTACCAGGAGCTTGGGCCTAAAACTCTGGCTGCAGGGCCTGCTCTTCATATCGTATTGCGGGAGGAGATGAAGTGACTGCAGGATCTGCAGCCAGGGACGCTGACCAAGGCCCTGCCTGGGAACACAGCAGACCCAGGGTACAGGGCCCAGCACAGGACCAGGGAGCCCCTGGGGGTGGGAGGTGTGGGGCAGGGACCCAGGGGCTGTCAGGAGTCACTGGCGGGTCTGGTCTCTGTGCAGGCCTCTGGCCGGTTTGTGGTGATGTCACCACATTTGCTACTCTGTCACCAACTCGCCCAGCCCCTGTTCTTCCATCTGAGCTGCCGGGAGTTGCGGAAGGACTGAGGAGACCGCAAGTTACCCGGGAGGGAACTGAGAGGGAGACACACACTGCCTTTCCCAGAGTGCCCTCTGACGGCCCCACTTGGTCCAAATGTCCCTGATGGGGCTGGGGAAGGCTTCTGTGTTTTGTGTTGTGTTGTGAGTGGCAGAAACACTCCCTCCTCCCTCCTCCTCCCCTCCTGCCCCATTCATAGTGCCCATTAGCATTTTAAAGGCTGTGAGAAGCCCATCTGTGCAGAGAATATTCATTTGTTTAACCCAGTGTTTCCCTGCCCAGAATCCCAGAGGGAGCCGATCCAGCACAGGGGCACTGCTGTGGACACCTGGCTTAGAAGGGGTGCTCTAGCCCCAGGGGTGGGTCCAGCTGTGTCCAGGGAGGGACAGCTGCCATCCCCTGCTGCCACCCATTTCTCTGGGCATCCGCCCAGGCCTTGGGCCTTTCTGCTTCAGGCTTCTCTTTGCTTTGGTCCTACAACAGAAGGAACAGCCTCTGCCCTCCCAAGCCGCTCCCCACCTGCTGCCAGTGTCCCTCTGCTGCCCAAGTGGGGCCTGGGGCTGAGGGAGGGGCAGGGCCACCTCTGGGATTTGGGTCACCTAGGGCTGAGAGGGGTGCTGATGGGCAGCCTCCCAAAGGTGAGCCAAGCAGATGGCCGCAGATGGCGGAAGGGATTATTCAAATCCAGCTTTGTTCTCATCTGGTGAGGTTCAGCAGTCTGGGGGGCAGGGGTGGCAAAGGCAGTGGGGCCAAGTCGCACACACTTGGAGTAGATTTTTCTGCTGCAGGTCCTGGGAAGAACAGAAAGGCCACTTGCTGGGCACCCGGGCAAGTCCCTTGGCCAGCCCATAGCTGTGTTGCTTGGCCCTGACCTTGCGGCTCACGGCAGTGGACAGGATAGCCTTCCTGACCTCCTAATGAGACAGAGTCATCTCTAGAGCGCAGCTTTTCCGTCGAGCTGCCTCTATGGTGTCCTTAGAGACAATACTCCTGATGACGGTGGGGATGATGGGATGAGACAATGACAGTGAAGGTGGTGGCTGCTATTTACTGAGCACTTGCATCATGCCCAGTTAGCTGTTAGCTACGTGCGCTGCTCTGGGACCCAGGTGTGTGGCGGTAGAGCTGAGGTGGGAACACAGGCCCTGACTGCGGGCCTGTCCCTAAGCCAGGCCCAGCCAACTCTATAAAGGGTGAGGCACAGACTTCCCAGCCTCAGGCACCTCTGGTCTCTGTTGTGGCTCCTCAGCTCTGCTGCTGTGGAGCAGAAGCAGCCGTGGACAACACCAGGACGGACAGGTGCAGCTGTGTCCAGGGGCACTGTGTTTACAAGAGTAGACCACAGTTCCGGCCTCGGCTCCCAGCGTGCAGGGAACGCAGGCTCCAGCTCCTCAGCAGTCTTCTTGCCTTGCTCGACTTTTCTCTCGAAAACCTGCTGCACGCTATTCAAGCCATCCTCAAACGATGGACAGCTGTACCTAGGGGGACTCGTGTGTCCACTTGGTGGCTCATTCACTCAGACAGCCGTTTGTTTCTATTTGTTGTCAATATAATAATTCTTATGGGAAGTATTTGACCTTTATTAAGAAATAGTAGTTATAGTCATTTGCTATCTATTATATAAGGATGCGGTTACGTCATAACACACTATAAATAACAGTTGTTAATACTGGCAAAACCATAGGCTTTGGGGTCAGGTACAGAAGTGTGGTGATCATAATCCAAACACTCATCTCCTGGAGATCGGATTCAGTGTCTTAACTTCTCTAAGTCTTAGTTTTCTCTTCTGAAAAAGGGGACTGATGGTCACTGCCCTGCCTCCCTTTCAAGACAGCCATAGAGAAGGCATGTAAACCCTTCGCCCGCCCGGGGCTGGGACTCCCCCAAGCGCCCCATGAGAGGCCGGGGTCCGTTACTGGAAGACTGGCCGCCGGCCTGCTCACCCGGAGCTGTGGCGCAGTGAGGACTTTCCGGTGGGTTTGCCACCCCTGACCGGCTCCGCCCGCCGCCTCCTTCCACAGGTCACCCTGTACTCTGACCTGCCCCAGCCCAGCCGCAACATCCATGAGGGGACAGTGCCCCAGGGGACCAAGGTCTTGTCCTTCACCATCCCGCAGCCCCGCTTGGTGGAATGGAGGCCCGGCCCTGTCACGGAGCCCCGAGCCGCGGAGCCCACGGGTGAGTCTGGCAGGAAGTTCCTCCTGTCATTCTCTGGGGGCCTTGGTCACTCTTGGCCAGGGAGACAAGATGCTACCTGGGGCCCCAGGACATGAAGAAGTCAACCGGATGTGGAATCTGCATGCGGCCAGTGCACCCTGTCGGACCCTGGCTCTGCCACTGGGCATGTTGGTGGTGTTGGGAGTGAGGGCGGTGACGGCAGTGTCCTTGTAGTCCTTGTAGTGCCCTGCAGTCAGGGTGATGCTTGGGTCCTACAACAGAAACTCTCATGTTTAATCTGCTTTCAGTTTAATCCCCGCCCCAACCTGGTGAGTGACGCACTGCTGTCACCCTGTGACCATGGAGAGGCCGAGGCTGAAGGTAGCACAGTGGCGAAGGGAAAGAACTGGGGCCAGGTCCCACCTGTCCCCGAGTTAGAGCCCACGCTACTGGCTGGGGACCCTAAGGCCCAGTGTGGCTCTGTTCCTCCCGGCTTGTGAGCTGGTGTCCTGAGACCTGTTCTCACCTGTGTGCCGGGGCGGCAACCTCCTGTCCCCAGAGCCAGCGGGAAGATGGCTGAGCTGTCACCTGAGGGTAGATGTGGTGTCTTGAGGTCTCAGTCTGTCAGCCCTCGGAGGATAGGCCTTGTCCCCCATGCCCTGCTCCTGTGTCTTCTAGGGTGGCCGGCGGCCCAAGGAGAGCTGAGCCCCTCCTCGCACCCTGACATGCCCACCCCAGGGTGGCTTCCAGAGAGCCAGGGCATCGCCCCCCTTCAGCCCTCCACAGAAGGGACCCAGGTGCTGGCTTCTCAGGCCAGTCGGCTCCTAGCCCAGGTGAGTAGGACACTGCTTTGCCCTGGGAGACACAGCTGGCAACGTGAGTACCAGGCTGCCACCTCCCACCTCTGCACTGAGGTCTGGCAACCAGCTCCAAACAGGAGTTTCTCCCTGGACCTTAGGGGCTGCACAGATCCTCCTCCTGCTCTGTCTCCTCTTCCTCCCCCTCCTCCTCCTCCTCCTCCTCCTCCTCCTCCTCTGTCTCCAGGACTAGCCGGAGCCCTCTTTCTTGGCACTGCTTCCTGTTAGTCTCTACTTGTACCTGAAGGTGTCTCTGGGTGACCCAAGGGAGCCTCCCCCAGCCCTGTCCTCTTCTGGACAAATGAGGTCCTGTCTGAGTCCATTTCACGGTGGCAATCAACTCCCAGTGACCTCTCAGAGGGTCTTCATGTTGTCCTCAAACATTCCAACTTACTGTGAGCTTTTGCAGGCCTCTATAACTACACACTTGGCCTTACTCCAAAAGTGCTTAAAGCGGCTTATGAAAATATAACATTTAACCCCATTCTGAAAACAGAAGTGCGGAAACTGGGGCAGAGGGGAAGTAAGAGCAGCAAACAATAGAGTATCTGAGGGTGAGATAAGTAAACAAAGCGTCCTGTGGGGCCCTGAGTGCTTTAGTGTTTAACCTTCCTGATCACCGACCCGGAAGTGGGAATGCAGGTATTCAGTGAGCCAAGGCGTGGCCCCTGGTGGATGCTGAGCGCATGACTTGTGAGCAGCCTGAAGGTGGATGTGCTCTGAGTGTAAATCACAGCCCAGACTTCAAAGACTTGTGCAAAAGGAGAACATAAACGACCTTGCTAGTAACTTTTTTAGGGTTACCTGCTAAAATGATAGTTGGAGTTAAAGAAAATACATTACTCAAATTATCTTTTCCTGTTTCTTTTCACTTTTTTTTTTTTTTCAGTCCTATGGATTGAAGTAGGGCCTTCACACTGAGCTATATCTTCCACCCCCCTGTTTTAAAATTTCAAGACAGGGTCACTCCAGGTCACTAAGTTACCCCCGCTAGGCTTTAACTTGAGTCCTCCTGCCTCAGCCTCCCAGAGTGCTGGGTGCACCACCCTGCCTGGCTTCTTTTCACATTTGTAATGTGCCTCCTATAAAATTTTACTTTATGCATGTAGCTCATACTTGTTCCCTACATATTACATAAACTATACATATGATAGTATTAGTATATATCATAATTTATAAATATATGCAATATATACATTTCTATAAATATATAAATTTCTATAAATATAAATACTATATATTTATATAATAATATATAAGTAAACACATATAATAATATACATTTCTGTATATTTCATTTATCTAGCGCTCTTCTGAAAGTGAAACCCAAAATACCCGTTGCCTTTTTCCTATTGAGACACCTTCACTAAAGGTCACACATGCACATGGCAGAGCCCTCACGAGACACAAAGGGTGTATTCGGTGAGAAGTCAGCCTTCCCATGCCCTGGCACAGGATGCGTGTAGGGTATATGGAAACCATACGCCATTTTATATAAGGACCTGTGCATCCTCGGGCTTTGGTGTCCACAGGGAGCTGGTGCTCCTGGAACCAATCCACTGCACAGGGAAACATATTCATTCCCTGTTTATTGCTTCTGTGTTTTATACACATGACAGCCTACAGTGAACTCCAGCTCCTTCATTTAGCACTGAATAGACCTTGGAGGTGTTTGTACATGGGATCATCTGCTTGTGCCTTCTCTTGTTGATGGCTGCATACTATTTCACAGACAAGAGTCTAAGCTGTTTGCCCCCTCTCCTGCTCAGAGGTCTTTCTGCTCAGAATGAGTGCTTTATTGTCCACAATTTCCTTAACCAGGACTGCCAGGGTTAGAGCCCCTTTCTAGCACCTACTCTCTACTGGGTAGAAACCCTCACCCTGAAGCCATGAGGCCAGACCCAGATCTTTGTGGCTGAGTGTTTGTTTGAATGTGGCTGTGTTCACCCAGGGTCCAGGTTAACACAGCCTGTTTCGTTCCTTTCCCGGTGTCTAGGTGGAATCCTTCGAGGGACTGATGGAGGCGGGGCAGCTCACCCCCCAGGAACGACTCAAGGTACCCCTGATTCAGGAGATGCCCATGCAGCCACCTGACTGCCCCCTCCCAAAGCCGAGTCCCTGAAGCCCCAGATGAGAGTCTAGTGGAAGAGGCTCCCTGGAGAGCACCCAGCTCCCGCTTAGCTTTCTAGGGTAACGACCCCCAGGTCATAGTACTCCCCACACAGAACCTTGGTGCTGCCGAGCCAGGCACAGCGGCTGGTGGTCAGCCACAGATGCAGCGCCCTTCCTTATTGTGACGACCCACAAGGCAGTCGCAGCTGTCACCCACTTACCCATGATGACGCAGAAACCCAGAGAAGCGACTCAAGGCCACAGTGGTGGGCAGCGGAGCCCAGGGCCAGATCTGCCTGCCTCCCAAGCCCAGGGTTGTGACCTCTGCCCCCTCTGCTTCTGCTGAGGGACCCATCTCACAGCCACCTGAAAAGACCTTTCCTTTCTGGCCCTCCCCCTTTTTTTCTCTTATAAAAGTGTTTGCCAAGGTCCAGGGATTTAGCTCAGTGGTTCTGCACCTGCCTTGCAAGTGCAAGGACCAGAGTTTGATCCCTGGTATCAAACAAACAAAAAGTGGTTGTCAAAAGTTTGGAAATGGGTCAGTAGAGGGGAGGAGAAGATACTTTGTCCATCTGCGATTGGCTCCTTTCCTTTTGGACTTTGGAGTTGCCATACCTGCAGCCACATCCATGTAAGGGAGCCTCCTGCTGGGGCAGCCAGACTCTCCGGCGGGACTGCCCAGGTCAAGGGTGGGGATGGCACAGGTGTGGGCAAGGGTTCCTCCGCAGAGCTGTTCCCACCCCCAGCTCTCTGCTCCTACCCCAGACTTTTTTTCATCCTTCCCGCTGGACAGACCTGGCCAGCGGGCAGCAGCAAGGAGCCAGGCACACAGCATGGGGGGAAGCGGCACGCAGAAGGGGGCCTGGAGCGGCCAAGCCAGGACCCTGGTTTGTAGAGATTTCGTGGCATGATTCCTAGGCTGTTGGGTAGACGTCACATATATGTGACGTCAAGCTGATGGATGATCCACATCATTCCTTTAAGAAGTCTTCATTGACACCTAATAATTGGTGTAATCACGAGGGGCAGTGATCATTTGATACCTGTGATCAAAACAGGCTATGCAGAAATCCATAATCATTTATCATTTTTTAGGGGGGCCTAGGCACACCTCTCCTCTAGCTCTTTATAAAATATAGAAGTTGGGACGGGGATTTAGGTCAGTGGTGCCACTGCCTGCCTCCCAAGCACCAAGTTCTGAGTTTGACCCCTGGTACCAAAAGAGAAAATAATAAAAATATATATTTTAAAAATAGTACATAATAAGTTGCTGTGGACTGCAGTCTGCCCCCTAGGCTGTAGGTCACTAAGACTTACTTACTTTCTGCAGTTTGAACCCATGATCTGACTCCTCCCCTACCCTGTCCCAGACTCTGGAAATCACTATTTTATTCTCTTCTGTGAGGCAGACTTTTTTTTAACCTACCTATAGGTGAGAACACGTGATATTTGTCTTTTCCTGCCTGTCTTCTTTTGATAACGTAATGTCCCCCAGATCCATCTTTATTGCCACAAATGACAGAACAAAAACCAAAAAATCACTCATGCTCTTCATCCCTGACTTCTTTCACCCATACCCTGAGAGCTATCTGGAGACCCAGCATGCTGGACTCTAGGCTGCCTCTGGCCTCAGCCTGCCCTAAGCGCTGTGTGGGAGGGGAAGGGAAGCCAGGGACAGTGAACCCACCTCCTGCGCTTTCAGGCATGGATTAACACTGGCCACGTTTACTGGGGCCTAGCGTAACTGTTAGGACCCTGCACTCTGGACTCAGAGGACCTGGGTTCAAAACTTGGCTGTACAACTTGCCCGGTTACTGTGAGGCCTTCCCTGACCTAAGTAACCTCCCTGTACCTCGGTTGCACCTTGTTTGAGTGAAAATGATAGAGGGGCCCTCAGGTTAGGATCATGCTGAAGATGGATAAACTCAGAGTGCCTGCGGCCAGCGTTAGTCAGCCTCTGGGAATCTGTGCTGTGGCAGCGTCCTCTGTTTCTGTGGTCTGTAAGGACTTGGGAAGAGAGGGATGCGATTGGCTTCTACAAACCCACACTTGTGTGTATCATGAAGGAAGATCTGGGGTCTCTGGTGTACTCAGTCCGCATAGGGACCTGGTGAGATCTTCTCTGACACAGCAACTGTCGTGGTACATTTGGTCCCTGTGCAGGTAGGGCTGGTGCCAAGCCCTAAGTCCTGCCTTTGCCATGGGATTCAGAGAGCAGAGAGCTTGCCCACGGCAGGCAGCACCCAAAGGTCCCCAGTCCCCACATCCATCCTCCGGGGGTCCCAGGGAGCCCCATACCCCACCAGCTGTCCGTCCACTGTGCCTGCAGCACGGGCTGTGGGCCGGGCACTCAGGGCTCCCGGCCTGTCCGTTCCAGGGCTTCCTGTGGCCGAGGGCTGCCCACGCGGCGCTGGAGGAGGAGTACCTGAGGGCCCGCAGGGGGCCACCCCCCACCCCCCAGCTTGCTGACTCCCAGGGGACACCAGGGACATTCGATCCTGGCAGGTATGGTGGGGAGGCAGGCTCTGGGGGACAGATGGGACGGGCCCTGGGTGCCTAAGGTGCTTGGCTTCCTCCTTCTAATTTGTACCCAGGGGAAACAGAGAGAAAGCACCTGCCAATTAGCAACACACCCAAACAGTGGGACACCCAGAAACTCGGATTTGTGTCCCTTTATGCACTTCAGTGAGAAGGCACCTTGGAGATAAGAGCTGAAACCTCTGGCTGGATGGTGGGGAAACTGAGGCAGGGGGTTTGGAGTACATAAGGTCTCACAGCCTGGTAATGTTAAGAGGCGATCAGGGCTGAGGCTCCTGACTCCCCGAGGAGCTTTCGTTCATCTTGTTTATTTCCAGCTCTCAGCATCATCAGAGGATGGTGTTCCGTGGACTCCGAATGGGTGCCCCCCACAAGGGGTCGCTGCCCTGACGCAGGGCCTCCTGGTTCTGCCCAGTATTGCTGTCCCTGGCTCTAGGTGCTGACGTTTGCCCATTCCAGGGAGTTGGAGGCCGAGATTCATCACCTGGGAATCCGCCTGGAGAAGCTGAAGGACCATGAGGACCAGACGCAGGGACAGTCTGAGCCGTCCTGGGCGGCTGTGGCTCTGGACAGCACCCTGGGCACACTCTTCCCCCACCCGCCAGCACCCCTGCCTGCTCCTCCAGGACAAGCGTCCGTGCCGGCCACCCCAACCCCACGCCTGGAGGTAACTCTCTGTGCCTATCAGTGGGTCGTTACCATTCAGCCACTTCACACGAATGATTTATGAAATGTGTGCCACAAGCCAAACCCCATGACACTTGGTCATTCAGTGGGATGGGGAGAGGCAGAAAGGGGACCTCTACCCCCATGGCGTTTTCTGAATAGTTGAACTAGTGACACAATTATGTAATTAGCATTTTGATCTATGCTCTAGAATTATAGGGTTCTCTGAGCTTAGAAATAGACCAATGGGTCTGTCAAAGAAACTGTCCTTGAAGAACTGAGCATTAAATGAGATCTGAAAGTAAGTAGGAATTACTAGTGCAGCAGAGGAAAAGCATCCCCCAAGGAAACTGCCTGTGCAAAGGCCCTGTGGCCAGCATATGGAAAGTGAGGGGGGTGATGGTCTGAGATGTAGCTAGAGAGTCAGGCAGGGGCCTCATGTTGTGGGTCTTTGGATAGCATTGAGAGCTTGGTCTTAAACTCTTCTTGGGTTTTCAGCAGAGAATGACATAGGAGATCTGTGGGTAGGTAGACCAGTTTGAGGTGAGGAAGATGGCAGGGCAGAGGGAGAGATGTGCATGGACTTGAGAGTTTTGGAAGGTGCATTGGAATGGATTTGGAGGATCAGAGAGGGAAAGGCCAAGGATGAGCCAAGGCTTCCTTGAAGTACTGAGGGAGCGATGGGGCTGTGCGCACAGGTGGGAGACCCCGGGCTGCAGTGTGTGGAAGGGCTTAGCTCCTCTCTCCACCCATGTCACAGCGCCCCCCTTCTTCAGGCGAGTGAAGTGCAGTCAGTCACACAGATGACTTTGGCGGTGCCTCTGTTCCTTCAAGCGTCTCATTCCTGCCCTGCAAAGCCACTGAGGGTCGGAGCAGGGTTAGGAGACAGCAGGTTAGGTGGGCAGAGCCAGGGCTGGCTGGCCTGGCAGGATGTGAGCGCCAGCCCCCGGGTTGGGGGCAGATTCTTTGCCGTGTGTCGTGCACAGAGACCCCTGAGAGCGCCCTCTTGAGGTCTCCTGTGATCCTGCAGGGAACCGGGGCTCGGCTGGCCAGGCTGGAATGTTTCCCCATGTGTCTGGCAGGAAGGAACCTGCCCCTCGCTTCTGTGTGGCTTTGAACAAATGGCGAGAGCCCCAGTTACCTGTCTGTAAGGTGGCATTGGTGAGAAGTCGCATCCGTCTGGGGCCTGCACATAGTAGGTGCTAGGTTCACGACAGCCAGGACTGCAGATCTCGCGGCCCAGTCCCTGCATTTGCACACCCGAAAGGTGGTGGGCTGGTGAGGTGGGCGTGGGTCTCGTTCTGCAGCCCACAGCAGGACGCAACTGTGGGTGGGTGCTAGGAGCTGTGTTTAACCTCGCCCGTCTCTAGGCCCAGCCCACACCGGGCCCCTGCCCACTGCACATGGACGGAGAGGGGAGTCCTGGCAGCAGCGAGACAGAGCTCAGCCAGAGGGACCTCCCTGCCCTGCTCAGGCACAAGGAGCTGCAAACGGAGCAGGACTTCCAGGGCCTCCTGGAGCGGTGAGCACCCGCCATGAGGGAGGCCACCAGCCTGCTCACTGGACATCTGGGGCGAGCTGCTCCCCTGGGCAGAGGTCACAGCCCTGTCTGTTCTGTCTGCAGGTACCTCAGCATGAAGTCCCTCCCAGAAGCCCTGCGGGTGAAGGGGGACAAGGAGCAGCTGGGCGAGCAGGAGGAGGAGGAGGAAGAGGAGAAAGGTCTTCACACCCCGGGAGTCAATGGGCCAGCTTCACTTGCAGGCAAAGCAGAAGCCACCAGGTTTCCCCCAAGGCAGCACCCAGCACGGGCCGAGCAAGGTCCCAGGGCCCCTCCCCAGTAAGTCCCTGAGCCCCTGTGTGACCCACACTGCCGAGAGCCACAGGGATGGCAGTTGTCATGGGGAGCTAGGCGGCTCGTAGCAGTGTGGACGTGGCTGGCCTGGCCGTCTCTCTACAGTGAGACATGGGCCACCAAGCCAGCAAAAATGACATTTTCCTCCCTTCTTTCTCCAAGCTCCTAATGAGGTCAGGGAGAAAGGGGAAGCCAGTGGTCTGTTGTGGGGGATGGAGACAGAGACAGAGACAGACACAGCCGCAGGCCAGCCCACAAGCAGGGCTCAGCACAGAGCCCCGAGCAGGCAACCGGATCTATCTGGAATGTGCTACTGTCTCCATGCTTTCCTCATATAATTTCCAAAGCTTGTTTCTGTTTGTAACACGAAGTCCTGGCCTTCCACGCATACTAGTGGTGCAGTCTTTCTGATCCACTGAGAATCCGTGGAGGTGGCAGAAGCAGGAAAACAGCACACAAATGTCCAGTCTGGCAAGCACTGTGTCACTTCCCGTTTCCACGGTGATCTGCTCTGCTGCATCACTGGAAAGGATGGTACTGACATCCACATTGTACTCTGAAAAAAATGAGGCCCTGAGAGGGGGGTGCCTGGCCTGGGGTCACATAGCTGAAAGGCAGCAGAGCCAGAACGGGCACCCATGGGCATCTCCTGGCTCCAGGCCTTGTCCCAGCTCCTGCCAGGGCTCAGGGATGTGTTTCTCCTTCCTGCCAGGGAGAATGTGGAACAGATGGTCTCCAGGAAGCCACCAGGCTCCCAGACATCCAAGGCCAGAGACAGGCACCTGCCGGGCTTGGGCAAGACTGAGGCAGCTGCTCTGGGGCCTGGCACGCCACCCAACCCAGTGGGCACAAAGGCCGCAGCCTCTCACCTGAGCAGCCTGAGCAGCCCGGAGGGGAGCGGCCTCTCGGAGCACCTCGCACCAAAGACTTTGCATCAGGTTGGTGCCCCAGAGGTAAGCGTGCACCTGGGTTGAGCTCAGAGCCTCATGGCCTCTGCCTGGGCCTGACGAACCCTCTGCCCCTGGGCCTTTGCATGTGCTGGCCCCTCTCTGAAGGGCTTCTGGCCATGCCCCTGCCAACCATAGTGCTGCCCTTCAGTGTGCCCCATGTCACCAAGCAGCAATGGTTCATACTATGGCGGGGCTGTAGCCCACTCCTGGATGTAACAGGCTATAGGCCCTCATAGCAAGATGCGTGTATGTGCAGACACACCCACCCACACACTAATTCTGACCAGCCATGGTGTGGGCCCTGCACTGGATACACAGGGACGCTGCCTGTGTCGCCTGTCTGAGACTGCGGCATGCCAGACTACGGCACAGGGCTCAGGAATAAAACTTTCCTCCTCTCCCCGAGCCCTGAGCCCTCATCAGGAAGTCGCCTCTCCCAGACTTGCTCAGGGTCCTCTCTGGGATGGGGTGTGAGTCCCTGTGTTAGTGGTGCTAGGCCCTGGGGCCTGTGGGCCTGAGGACCCCCACCCTGCCCTGGCTTCCTTCTCCCCAGAGCTGTGAGCCTCTGGAATGTGAGGCCAGGCCAGGCTGTGGGAGGGGCTTCCGACTTAAAGGGACACTGCTTCTTTCAGGATCCCTGGATGGCGTCCCCCGAGACTGACAGTGGTTTCATGGGCTCAGAGACCAGCCGAGTGTCGCCCCTCACCCAGACCCCCGAGCACCGGCTCTCCCACAGCAGGTATCCTGGCCCCACCGCCGTCCCTGCAGGGTCACACACCTGGGACAGCCTGGGAATCAAAGTGCTTGTGATAGCCCAGGCCAGGGGTCGGTGGTCTGGGCACTCACAAGCCTTCGGTTCACCCCAACCGGGGCTCTTTTTCCCCTTTTTATTGTAGAGCAGAGCAGAGTTCAAAGAAGGGAAGTGAACTGCACATTGTCACTTAGTCCATTAGCGACAAACTGGGAAATGCACATTTGCTGGGCAGAGGAAATGAGGGATTAGGCCGAATGGATGAAAACTCCAGGGGTGGGAGCGGGAAGCAGAGAGAAGCCAGAGACAGAAAAAGCACTCAGGGTGGCTCCATGGGGAGACGGGCGAGGGAGGTGAGGGTGAGGAGGCGTGGTGGGGCCACCCTGTGGATCAGACGGGGCTGCGGAAGGAAAGGGTAAGAAATCCTCTTTGCTTTCCAAACAGCAACTTGAGCATTATTATTTTCCATACATGAGTTACCAGGTCTGCTGCCACAGCGTTTATACAGGATAAGGACATGTCACACAGGTGTGTCCTCAAGCTGAGCCCCAACACCATGACCCAAGGCCTCCGTGTGTGACAGATCTCTCTCTCCCTTCTCCCCAGCACTCCAGGAACATTAGCCCATCACGTGGCTGCATCTGTGCCCCTCAGTGGAGACTCCCACCCCAAGGCCAGGGGTCCCCGGGTCCCCAGGAGAGAGGCAGGGCCCAGCACCTCCAGGAACCGAGCCCTGCGGCACCTCTTGAGCACAAGTGGCACCCCCCGGCACAGGACACCTGGTTCCCACCTGGAGCAGGCAGTGGCAATGGGTGAGAGGGGTTCCGGGCTGGCTGGGAACCCGTCACCCAGGTCCTGGCCCAGCTGGACTGCAGGGATAGAAAAACCTAGAAATCGGAAACCTGGCATTACTTTTTAGGGTATAAAATACTATCCACATAGGCTGATGCAGGAAAATTGGAAATCACAGATAAGGTGGACAGAAGGTAAAAAAAAGCCTGTGAATGATTTTCCACAATGCTAATGGTGCGTATTTACATACACGAAAAACAGAAATGGCCCCATATTCTGTGTGAATATTTGGCAGCCTCTTTTTGTTTTTTGTTTTTTTATTAAAGGTTACATCATGAACAGGTTCCATCTCTGTAAAACTGATTGGTGGTTCAGTTCTTTACCTTTAGAAAATATGCACGAACTTTTTCCTGAAATAAAACAAAAATACAGAAGAGAACATTAAATCAATGAATTTTCAGAGTGAACCCAGACCACGGAACCCAGCGAGATAAAGCCCCAGAACTCCATATGGCAAAGCCCCTGCTGTCACTGCTTCCCAAAATAGAGCCTCTCAAATTAGCTTTGCCTCTTCGTAAGATCCACCTTTGTGGGGGGAGTTGAGACAGGTTCTCACTATGTAGTTGAGACTGACCTGGAACTCACTATGTAGCCCAGGCTGGTCTTGAACTCACAGTGATCCTCCTGCCTCAGCCTCCTGAGTGCTTGGATGACAGGCGTGAACCACCATGCCCAGCTGAGCCAACATTTTAAAACCACTTTTAACTGAACTGTTTGAGACACCTGTAGATTTACATGCTGCTGTGAGAGGTAATAAATACATGGAGAACCCAACTGCCTTTCTCGTTTCCCCCTGGGTTAATATTTTGCAAAACTATAGGACAGTGTCAGAGCCAGCTGCTGACATTCAGTTAAGACACATACACCTCTGCAGTCTCCCAGTTCCTTTTTCCTGGCCACACCCTATCCCTCCCAGCAATTGCTCATCCTATCTCCCATTTCTGCTATTTTGTTGTTTCAAAAATGAGCCGGGTGTGGCGGCACAGGCCCGTAATCTCTGCACTGGATAGGCTGAGGCGGGAGGATCGCTGTGAGTTCAAGGCCAGCCTGAAATGCATAATAAGACTCTCATCTCAAAAAACAAACAATCAAAAAATGCCAGGCATAGTGGTACATACCTGTAATCCCAGCACTCAGAAGGCTGAGGCAAGAAGTTCGCCACGAGACTGAGGCCAGCCTGGACCTTGTCTCAAAAAAAAATTTTTTGTTGTATATACAGAATCACAGACGACATAGCTTTTTGGAATCAGCTTTGCAGTCAGTGTAATTTTCTAGGGGTTCACCCTGATCCTTCTGGGTACCAGGAGTTTGTCCCTTACACGGTGCCCCAGAGCACCCCAAGCCCGTTGTTGCTGTACCTGGGCTGGGGTGGTGGCCGTCCCTCTGGGAGGTCAGTGTCTCCTGCTGTCCCGAGAAGGACACACTTAGAGGTGTGGCAGATTTCCGAAGCAAGTCCCAGGATGACCTGTTGAGATGGTAACAGAGTCTGGGTGCCAAGTGAAGGAGCAAGGAACTCTTCGTAACAGGGATGGGGTCCTGAAGACTTGGATCTGTGGTGTAAGGGGGAGGGGGGTGTCCCAGAAGCAGCTCGGTGCCCCACACTCCTGCACAAAGCAGAGCTTCTTGTTGGGACTTCAGCAGGTCATTGGCCTGCTCGGGACCTGCCCTTGGGACCGCAGCTGAGCACCGTCCCCTCAGCCCACCACCATGTCACCCCGCGTGTTAAAGCCTTGAGGGTCCTATCTGCTTCAGCTCATCTTGGCCTCTCTCTGCCTCACTAGGGGTCCCTGGCTCGGAGCTCCAGGGCCAAAAAAGGACTCCTGCACAGGTCCTGCCCAGCAGGACAACCAGCCCCATGCCCACGCCTTCCCCTGAAGCTGCCCCACCGCCCTCTGGACCAGCAGAGACCATCCCCAACCTCCTTCTGACCAGAACAGAGCGAGAGTAAGTCCGAGAGTTCAAGCCCACACGGCACAGAGCAGGAGACTGGGGGACGGGGAGAGGCCCGTGCCCAGCTCAAACATTGGGGGACCCAGGTGTCCTTCCTCCCACATTGGGGCTATTTCTGCGCGACCTCCCTGATCTAGACCTCGAGGACACTTCTCCAGCCGGCAGAAAATGGCCTAGAGGTGCTAGACCTCCCCTACCTGCAACATTGCCCTTCTGCACTGCCAGGACCTGTTTCCTGCAGTTGGTCTTTCATTGTGTCTGTCCACTAAGAGTGTGTCTGTGTGCGTGCGCATGCGGGGGACTCCTCCCTCCACCTCCCTTTTCCTGCTGTTTTCTCCGATTGCACAGGAATGGGGCAGCAGATGGCTCAGCCCCGTGCCTTCTCAGCATGGGCTCTCAGCCCCCCAGGGAGGCTGCTTTGGGGACCCCGAGGCCACCTTGGGGGGGGCCACATTGGCAAGTGCACTTGCAGCCAGCAGTAAGTGTTTGGTGGACTGGTCCGAGCAGACTGTGTCTACCCTGGCAGCCTCAGCATCAGCGAGGGCATATTCACCCATGTATGCCAGGCCTTGGAACAAGAGGGACAAGACACTGTGCTGGGCCTTGGGAGGCTCGCCTTCTTGTAGGATGGACGAAGCAGCAGGCAGTGCACCCTGGCTTGAAAAGCAGAGGGCTGGCAGAGGCCTCGGGGCTGCAGGAGCACAGGGCTGGAGGCTTCAGGGAAGAGAAAGTGGTGTCTCAGCAGAGCCCGGAAGGAGGAGAGCTAGGAGAGTACCTGGCAGTGGGAACAGCATGTACAGAGCCCAGAGAGAGAGAGAGAGAGGGAGCCTGACACCACCGAAGAGCCAGATGTTCATGACAGCTGGATCCTTGAGTGTGAGGTGGGGGTGTTGAGCAGTAATTCAGGGAAGCAGCCAACGGAGACCCTACAGGACCTTGAATGCTACAGAGTGCAGCTTGGTGCAGAGCAGCATTTACTGCATGCCCTGTGGGTGTGCGGGCTCCTCCCGGGCACAGCACAGGGTTTTAGCGGGTTGGGTTTGTGTCTTAGGAAGACACTGGCTCCTTGATGGCTGCCTCAGCAGGAGCATAAAGCTGAGGAAGTACCAAGGGAGGCCAGGGAACAGTAGGAGGAATGATACCCCCAAGAAGCTGGTGTGTCCCAGAGAAGAAGGACCTAGAAGAACTGCAACTCCCAGCCACGAAGCCAGCTGGGTGCTCATGGCCTGGGCAGAGTGGAGGAGTGAGTTTGCAGGGAACGCAGAGTGTCAGTGTGAGCTGGAGCTCAGAGACTAAAGAGTTAAAGTTGGGAAGAGTGGGAAACAGCTCAGAGAGGGGCAGTGGTGCCGGCTTGCCAGCCAAGTGGGTATCCCAAGTCCCAGGCTGCAGCCAGAGCCCCGGCTCTCAAGGGTTAAGAGTGCCAGGAGCACCCGCTGTCCTGCAGCCACCGCCCTCACTGTCTATGTGTCTTGGAAGCCCCAACAAGCGTCACCCTGGAGGTTGCCAGGGAGACCGACTCCCACTGCACACATGCCCTGCGACAGCAGCAGGGCCAGGTCTGTGCCTTCTGTACACTCATCGGACAGCCCATGTATGCTGGAGGTGGCGCCAGGCAAGAACTGACCCTGAGGGGAACCCCAGAAGGAAGCCACTGCAGAGGGGATTCAGGGCCTGCTGCGTCCCAGAGGAGGCCACGCCGTGGGAGGGCATCTTCCGCAGGACATCTGGGTGGGCTTGTCCCCCACAGCACCCTCAGGGTGACCCCAGCAATGCAGGGGCTGAGCAGGGAGAAGCACGGGCAGCCGTGCTCCCCACATCTAGCAGCTTTGTGCCATGCCTCGTGGTTGGGCTAAGCCTGTGGGTCTCCCGTGGTCACCGCAGCACCCTGCCTGCCCCTGCCTGCTCAGGCCCCTCGTACTGGGGAGCACCCTGAGTCTCCTTGCCTGTGCTCCATGCATAGCCTTTACCCTGCTCCCTCTGAGAGCCTGGGGCCAGTACATCATGCTTGTAGGACCTGTGAGGTGTAAGGGTCTGGGGACAGGAGATGGGGAAGCCTGGTCCCTGCCTGCCTGTGGCTCAGGGCTGGGGAGATGGATAGATGAGTGTCTTCCGCCAGGAGCAGAGAGCTGAACAACAACAGGAAAGGCTTTGGGGAAGGTCAGGAAGGCGTGGCTAAGCAAAGGAGAGAGAAGCCAGGCCCAGCTGCATCCTTAGGATTGGTTTCCTGGGAGAGCAGCAGAAGGAGGCAAGGCGCCCAAGGCTGGGGCCGTCAGGTGGAGGGTTTCAAGGGGACCATCAGCCAGCGCACCCTCCTGTGTGTCTTGGGAATTTGCCATGGTGTTTCCTGTGTGTTGGGAGGACGAACTTCAAAGGAAGGTTCTCAGGCACTTGTGGAGTGCACACGCACTGAACTGGGGTGTCGAGACACATAGCAAGAAGTGTGAGCGACCAGCAGAGTTCTAGAATCACTGGCCGGCAGCGGTGGAGCCTGAGACGTGCCGCAGAGGGGAGAAGACAGCTGCGCCTGGGAAGCGCTCGGGGCTCTGCAGCTCTGTTCTTTACCTGTCAGCTCTGTGCTTCCATCCCAACCCCAACCCCAGCCAGGCCATCCGAGAGCTGCAAGCAGAGGTGTCCCGGCTCCGTCTGCGGCTAGAGGACAGCCTGCAACAGCCTCCCCAGGGCAGCCCGAAGCGTGCGGCGTCTGCCTCTGACCGCCCTGCCCGGACCCGGGACCGAGCCGCCCATTCCAGCTGGGGCTCCCACGGTAGCAGGTGGGTGACCTATGTGCACTGGGGGCAGCTGTGGAAAAATAGGCTGTCCAGCCTCTGGCTCCCTGCGACCTCCTGGGCTCAACTACTGCCACTATACTCTTGTCACACATTCCCTTGATCATTTATTCCCTTCGTCATTTTTTTTTTGGTACCGGGGATCAAACTCGGGTCCTTGCGCTTGCGAGGCAGGCCACCGAACCGCTGAGCTAAATCCCCAGCCCTCGGTCATTTTTTTACTGTGTAGTATTTGATGGATACAAGAACATCTAAAGTCACACGGTAGTAATAAGGCAATAGACAAAGAATATTCCCGAATGCCCCTCCTAACCGAAGGGTGAGACCTTCTTCAGGTTGCTAACACAGCTAGCAGCCATTCATTTGTGAAGATGGCTTGGAAAGTCCGCTCACTTCTGAGTGTTTCCATGGAGGGTCCCAGGCGAAGAGTTTTGTGCCTTCCAGTCACCCTATGAAGTCCTTGCTTTTATCACCCACACTTGCCAGATGAGGAAACTGAAGGTCAGGGCGGCCCAGAGCCATTACCCATGAGTCTGCTTTGACCTCTGCATGCCCCTCCTCCCAGTGTGCCCCAAGCATTTCCCAGGTTGGCCTTTTCGTGGCTCAGCCAAAGGTTGCACGGACCCTCATCCGGTGATACTGTCTCTCTTCCCTGCTGCTAGCAAATCCACAGAGAGGTTGTCCGGGGAGCCTGAAGGTACAGAGAGAGCTTGGACTGCAGGAAGACGACGCGCCCAGTCTTCCTCCGTGCCTCGGGAGGTGCCCCGGCTGTCCCTGAGTAAGCCACTGTCAGCCGGGACTGATTTCAGGAGGGCATGCCAGCGGGGGGCCAGGGACCCCAGCAGCAGCGCTGCAGATCAGAGGGCATTGGTGCTACGTTGGCAGACACTGGAGTACAGAGACAGGGTGCACTCGCAGTAGTAGCCACCATGTGCCACACGCACGCTGTCTGCAGGCTTTGTGTATGTGCCTGGCTGGCTTCCCACTCCTCCGTGGGCTGTGCTGTCCACCACCCGCAGAGGAGGACACTGAGCCCCACAGAGTGCCCAGACTTGCCCAACGGGGTGTGGCCCTGGAGTTCCTGCAGGTTGTGCCCAGCTCTGCTCACTGTCCTGGGCCGGGCTGAGTGGTTAGAGATTGTTAACCACGCGGTAGTAAGGGCATCCACCCCCCAAATGCTGAGAAGGTGCCGGCTGCGTCCGCACCAGCCTGGCTCAGAGTCAGGATTCCGGAGGTGGGGGCTGTATTCCCACAGTAAGAACTCAAACTTCATCCTAGAGTCCAGACTTGCTACGGGCTCATGCCCCGAGCTGTGTGGCCTGCCCTCCACCCACCCTCTCTTTCCACCCCAGGTTCAGAATCTGAGCCACCCTCCCCACAGCTGCCCTCTGGGAAGATCACCGAGGACAGTCCCCGGGCAGCTCATGACGGCACAGGAGGAACAAGGGGTACCAGAAGGCCGGACAGGGTCTCCTTCCAGGGCCAGTACACAGGTGGGCCAGGAGGGCTGCTGGCGAGGGCACAGCCCCCAGGGGTCTCCTCTGCCATGGCTCACCTCTCCGATGTGCCCAGGGCGCTGTTCAGGCCTGGTGTTCTGTGACAGGAGGAATGTCAGGGCGGGGCTCTGTGTATCTGGGCACCTGCAGTCTTCATTCATTGATAAGCAGGTACTCACCCCTCTTCCAGGCTTGGCTCTGGGAAAACTTAACCATTTTCTCAGTCAGTCACATGAACTCCTGCTCTGCCAGACCTGGGTGAATACTGAATGTTTCATCCTTTGCACCTGCCTTAGCCTCAGGTTCCAGTTCCCAGCAGCTAACACTTTTTATGACCTGGCACCTGGCCGTACCTGAATATGGCCTGCCATGACACGTAGTAGCACTTTGAAGTGCTTAGCATTTAAAAAGAGTCTGTACTTGATGAACCTGACAGCCCGGCAGAGGCAATAAGTAATGACAATAAGTGCAGTGTGGCTGTCACCAGCACCCACTGAGCAAAGACAGCCACTGTCCACAGCTCCACTCTCCTGCGTTCTGGGAATGAGGCATGCTGGGAATGAGGCATGCTGGGAATGAGGCATGCTGGGAATGAAGCATGCTGGGAATGAAGCTTGTCTGGAACATGTCATGAGGGAAATCACAGAGACCGAGTAGTCACAATGAGGGTGGCTGCCAGTCTAGGGCTCCAGAGCCACATACAGCACAAAGTGTGACCACCCAGCACAGCCCCAGCATGGGAGGGAGAAAGATCAGGAATCTCTCAGTGGCTCCAGGTAACCTATGGGTCATTGAGACTTGAGGGAGGGGGAGGCAAGAGATGGTAAGGGTCCCAGAGCCTGCCCAGCTTTGTGGTGCATTACAAGTTTTCCATCTGCCAGGCACAGGATGGCGACCTCACAGATAAGGCCCTATTCGGTTCTTCCTGCAAGCTTCGGAGTCCGGTGCCGTGATGTCCCCACTTTCCCAGGCACCCAGAGTGCAGGGAATAAAAAAACCCAAGGACCCCTGGTCAAAACCACTCAGATCCACATCGGAGCATCAGGGTCTGGAAGAGGGTCCCTTCTTTGTCACGGCTTCCATTTTAAATCCTGGCTGGGCTGGGTGTGTTGATCACTACTGAATTGGCAAGAACTCAGCAGCTGCTTCTAGGAGCAGAGTCTGGAGAGAGCCTGCAGTAACAACCCATGTTTTTTATGTATGTGTGTGTGTACACACGCATGTGTGTGTGTGTGCACATGCACGGTGTATGTGTGCACACATGAGAGACAGGGAGTGACTATTAAGGGAGGAAGAGAAATGTGATTGTGAAACCAGGATCCTCCCTGGTTCTGCATCTGTGCAGGGGGCTGATGCTGATGGCTCTTATTTCTCCCCCAGGCCAGGAGTACCACATGCTGTCCCCCAAGGCCATTCTGAGAGGCAGTGGCTCAGCCTTCTGTGCTCACTGCCAGTCTGTTAAGATCCAGGACACAGGTAAGGGGTGGAGCATAGGATAACTGAGGCTGTAGTTGCTCTGTCAGTGGGATTACAGCCGGGTAGCATGGGTCTGCCCTGCCTGGGTGGGGGGAGCACAGACAAGGGGAAGGGGCTTTACTGAGCTCAGCCAGCCCAGTTCAGCACCCCCTGGAGCTGCTCTCCATCATGTAAGGCCTTCCAGAGTTCCTGGTGGGTAGCAGTAGGTAGCAGGGCAGCTGGCAAATGATGGTAGTGTCTCATCTCCCTTCCATCCTTCTGTACTCCTTGTCCTTCCTCCAAAACCCACCAGTGACAGGTGTTGGGAGAGCAGTGGACTAAGAATCCAGACCCTGTGTTCTGGTCTGTCTTCTGCCACTGACTTGCTGTGTGATCTTGGGCTAATTCTTGACTTCTGTGAGCCTTAGGTTCCACCTCCAAAATGAGAAGGCTGGTCTCTGAGGCCTTTTTCAAGCAACAGTGATGATAATAGAGCTACAATTTGGGTTTTTTTTGTTTTTTGTTTTTTGTTTTTTTGAGACAGGGTCTCACTTTGTAGTTGAGACTGACCTGGAACTCACTATGTAGCCCAGGCTGGTCTCAAACTCACAGTGATCCTCCTGCCTCAGCCTCCCGAGTGCTGGGATTACAGGCATGCGCCACCACACCCGTTAAGCTCCTAGTGTATACAGGAAATCATGCTAAGCATTTTATCTACATTAATCCTCACATTTTATGAAGTGATACTATTATGTCCATTTTATAACTGAGGCTTGGAAAGATTAAAGTACAAGTGGGAGAGGCAAGATCTGAATCCAGGTCTTTATACTGCAGAGCCCTGATGCTTCACCACCATGTCTCTGTACATTCATTCATCTTTACACACAGTTCTTTTTGGGCCAAAATTTAACTTTTTAACATTTTTACATTCTGCCTTTTGCTCTGGCTTTCACTATAAATATGGCTAAAAGAAGCCAACAGTACCCATGCCACAGGCTAACTGTTGAGCTGTCTTGACATTTCCTCCACCAGATTAATTAGTCTGCTACCCTTAATCATAGTATCCTGCAAATTCTCAGGACATGAACAAAATGTAGACGACTCTTCTGCCAGAGCATGACACACATGGCCTCTGGCCCAACTGCCAATGCAGTCCTGAAACCTCATGAACCTGGCCTTTATTGTCCTCATTCCTGTCAGCATTCTGGTCTTCTGTGCTTTGACCAGAATCTCTATAATCAAGTTATGTAGCTCTGACCAGAATCTCTTATCATGTTATGTTTAAAGCATTCTATGGCTTTGCTTACCTCCATCTCCAAATCTTTTCAAACTTTTCCCTCAAACCAGTTCCAAAGCTTCTGAACTACATAGTTAGGTACAGTAATAGCAATGACCCCACTTCTCTGGTACTTATTTTCTGTATTAGTCGCCTTTCCCATTGTTGGTAAACAATTCCCCTTACTCACAATTTAAAGGAGGAAAGGTTTAATTTGGCTCACAGGTTTTGGAGATTAGAACCACAGGCAGCTAGCTCCAAGGCAGAAACATCATGGTGGAGAGCTCAGAGGTTGAAAGCTGCTCACCTCATGGCAGCCAGGAAGCAGAGAAGGGAGGAGCCAGGGAGATAGACACACTCTCCAAAAGCATCGCCCCAGGGACACTCCTCTTCCAACAAGGGCCCACCTCCTAACAGCACATTTAGTAATAAATTGAACAATAAGTCAGCTGCCCAATGAGTATGGCAACCTCATGATTCAGTCACTTTCCAAAAACCTTACCTCCAAGTACATGAGACTCTCAGGTGACATTCTTGATCTAAACCATAACACTCTGGAGCCTTGGTTTCTCCACCTTAGGATAGGGAATAAGCATAGCAGCCAGCCTAGTGGCCAGTGGGATTTGGTAAAATAATTCATTCACAAGGCCTTCAGTAGAGGGCCAGCTCGTACCATCTTTCACCATCATGGCTGCCATTAGTATTGTCCCCTGGGTGGAAGGAGGCAGCAGTGCCCTCTGCCACAGCTCCCGAGGAAATCTCAGTGCTGTGGGGGACTCAGTCCTGATGCTGGAAACTGAATCCTCTTTCACCTCTCTTCCAGGAGCTGCTGCCAGTGACCCACTGCGACTGCTAGACACTGATAGCCTCCGATGTCCCCTGTGTGGCCAAGCAGGAGCCTCTCCAGAGGAGGATGGCCCAAGCCCAGCCACCTCTGGTAGGCACAAGTGCTAGGGGGTCTGCTTGGGGCAAGTCCAGCTGGGGTGTGGCAGATGGGCAGAGAGGTTGCCACCCCAGAGGGTGGGTGCTGGGGGACCCACCATTCTCTGCTGTACTTGCCCACATGGTCAGACTGTCTCTATGCTGTCCCCATCATGGCAGGTGCAGACAAGGCAGCCACACGGAGAGATGCACCTCCGACCTCCAGCCCCAGGCAGAGGAGCAAGCGGGCAGGCTCTCCACCACGGCCGCCCCCCGGACTATGGTACCTGGCAGCTGCACCCTCAGCACCGGCTCCTCCAGCCTTTGCCTACATCTCCTCTGTGCCCATCATGCCTTATCCTGCAGCCTCGGTGTAAGTCTTCCCTTCCACCCACTCTGCTTGAGTGTCTGACTCCTAGAAACACTAGTGCTCTGTGATTTAGCCTGCGTGGGTAATGGGTAATGTGTAGTCCAAGCCTGACACTCTTACAGTCTCTCAACAAACCCCAAGTGCTCTCTGTAGCAGGGAGAGTGCTCCACCTTCAGGAGCCCACAGTGAAGGAGACTGCCAAGAGGGCCTGCCCCCTGGAATCTTATATCTTCCTGGGGCGGACCTAGAACCCCAACCACCCTCCATTTTCTCATAGCAAGCCCGTAATGAGTGCCCTCTTCCTTTTTAATAGATGTTCTTTTTTGGAGCAGTTCTGGAGTTAGGGTGCTTGAGCAGAACACAGAGAGCTCCTATAAGCAACACCTTCCCCATATGGTCACCCCTGTTACTAACATCTTGCATCCGTGTGGTACAAGTGCCACCGTTTGCAAACCAACGTTAATATGTTATTGGGCTTGTTGAGTGACTACAAGAGTGTCAGGCTTATGCTGTCCATTACCCACAAAGTCCATAGTTCTTCCAGTGTCCTCCATTTTTATCTGAAGTCCTTTCTATTCCAAGTCCCTTCCTGGATCCCCCTACATTTCATCACCCTCTTTAGGCTCCTTCCAGCTGTGGCAGTGGCTTAGACTGGTCTCATCTCCCATGAGCCTGACAGGTTAGTGTCGCACTGGCCAGGTGTGCCACAGATGAGCACCTACTGAAGCAGATCCCAGAGTGTCAAGGCGGAATGGTGCAGGCTCAGAGTCAGCTGGCTGCTCTTGTGTTCCATCTGCCCTTCCCGGCCCTCTCACAAAGGTGGCCAGAAACCACAGTGCCTCTAGTGCTACTAGAATCTGGGCTCTCAGAGCTCCCAGTTTCCAGGCATGCTCAGTTGTCAAAACCAGTGCGTGGTTCAGAAAGCTCAGTGGGATTGTCCTGCCACCTTCAGGCCGCTGTTGCAGCGGCGTCTGTCTAGCCCAAAGGGATTGTTTTTTAAACCAGCCTCAGGGAATTCAGCGGATGGTCAGGCCAAGCCGGCCATCAGGTAAGCAGAAGGCCGGAGGGTACAGGACACTCCCTAAAGGTGGCAATGTGGGCTGCTGTTCATTGGGTTCAAGAAGCCAGTTCTTTCAGCCTAAAGCTGTTCGTCAGCATGGGCTGCTTACTAATTAGTGTTTGTTCCAGATGCTGAGTCGTGTCTGACTGTGAATCCACTGCTGCCCCTTCCAGCTGTGACCCAGCTCACAGTTACAGAGCACTTGCCATGGTCTGGCAGCACAGGGCTTCTCACCTGAATTTGCCCATTCGATCTATCTGGGAGGGAGCTGCATAGGGAGACTTGAAAAGAGATGTATCTCATCCAGGGGCCCCTGGCTGCTCAAGCACAGTAACTGGGATTTGGGCTGGCTTCTAGGACCTAAGCTGCTACACCCAGTGCCTCTTGCTGTCTGCAGACTCACACAGCTTCCCCCAGCTTCTGGCTCCTCTGTAAATGAGGTTGTGGTGTCAACTGGCACATAGGCAGCAGCTGGTCCATGGGTACTGGAGACAGGGAACCCAGGCCAGGTGCTGGTTAGCTGTTGGAGGGACGGTCCAAGCCTTTCCCACAGTGGCCCCCAAGGACATCTTTCCAGTAGCACATGGGGGCTCCCAATGCTGCGCATCCTGGTGAATACTTGTTGCTGTCTTTTGGTTCCCATCCTGGTGGGTGTGCAGTATGTGATGTGACCCCACGTGGCTTTGATGGGTATTTGCCTACTGGCTCATGGTGCGGCCCATCTGTCCATGGGCTTGGGGGCCTTTGCCCTTCTTTGGAGAAATGGCTGTGGAAGTCCTAGCCCCACCCCCTTGCACACCGTACAGCAAGGCAAGTTAGAGGGGGACCTGGCAAAAGGGCTGCCCCTCAGACCAAAATGGTAAGAGGTAAATGAGACACACGAGCCTAAATATCAGTGGTTGCCCTTATGTAAAAAAACCCAAAGTATGAATAAAGAACAAAATAAAAGACCCACAGTAGGATATAGGAGAGATAGACCTTTTGCATATGGGAAGGGGACTGAGAGATACCAGGAGTGAGGAAAGAGGGGAAGGGAAAAGGATAAAAGAAAGAGGATGACGATGTGTTGTGTATATGTACCAACTCCCCAAGGGGAAGGTGATCGCTGTGTGTGATAAGATATAGTTTTTCTAAAAAAGAAAAGAGGGGTGCCAGGGATACAGCTAGAATCAACAGCACGCCAAGGGAGATGCCAAGGACAATTCTGGCAAAGCCTTAAACTCATTCCTGCTTTACTTAGGTCAAATATATCTGTATTCCTGTCTCTCTCTCAACCACACACACACACACACACATTTTAACATTGAAGAGTCACAGCTAGTTACCTTGAGCCCCAAACTTAGTGGCCCTGATGAACGTAGCCATCACTTTTGGGGGGATCTGTGCTTCATCTTAGGGCTCATCAGCCATTTCCCCCACCCCTTAAAAATAGCACTACCCATCCCAGCAGGACCAGGTCCAGAGGACGCCCGACACCTGCCCCCCTCAATGAGTGGGACCAGCCCTTCTGCTCCAGGACAATCCTAATTATTCCTATCATATTTCCCAGCACCCTGTGCTTGGCAAATGGGACCTCCATGTGTTACCTCTCCAGCAGAGCCGACAGCTCTGCTCTCACCAAATCTGGTTTAGGATTAGAAGCTCCTGAGGGCAGCAAGGATCAGCACTTGCTCATTCCATGACCTCTCCAGAGCCGGCACAGAATAGATGCTCAATAAATGGTGGCCAAGGGCATGAGTGGTTTGAACTACCCATCCTGAACCTATTCCAGGCTGGGCACTCATGTTTGTTTTCTTCTGTCCCCCACCAGGCACATCCGTCTACGTATGCTTATTACTCCCATGTTACAGGCACAGACACTGAGAGCCCAGGGCTAGGGACCAGTAGCCTAACTAGGACTTAGAAGGAGAGGACTCCAAGCCCAGTGGTGCTTAGCGTTACCCAGCCAGCTCGGGCTAATGAGCACGCTTGCTCTCCTCCTAGGTACTATGCACCCCCAGCATCTACCTCAGCCCCCAAGGCCTCCTTGCGGCCATCTCGCAGACACCAACACTCCATCCAGCTGGACCTAGATGACCTGGAGGAGCTGCACAGGGCCCTGAGCCGGGCTGTGCAGGCGGCAGAGAGTGTGCGCTCCACCACCCAGCAGATGCGCCACTCACTGTCAGCGGACCTGCGCCAGGCCCATGACCTACGGGGCTCCTGCCTCTTCTGACTCCCTGGAGGCTCCAGACAGCCCGCAGCCCCGTCCCAGGAGGGTCACCCACCTGCCCAGAGAGTATGCTCCCGATAGAAACTCGTCAGCCGTCACCAAGAGGAGCAACTCCCTGGAACACCAGGCAACCCGGAGCTACTGTGACCAAGGCCACGTCTGTCCACACAGAGCCTCTGGGACTGTCCTCCCTGGCCCTGCCCTTGTGCATCCTCACCGGTACCATGTTTTATATACAGGTGCACAGAACTTTTGTGCTGGGGAGTCATCCTGTCTTGGCTCCTCCTTAGAAGGCCAGAGAAGACAGGAAAGGTTTCTGGACCAAACCTGTCCCCCACCTGTGACTAGCCACTCTGGACATGCATCTCTGGGAAGGGCCTGGCCAGAGACCTTGCTCCTAGTGACTGGTGGGCAGAGAGCATTTGGGGACAAGGGAGACCTGTTAGGACGTGGTGCCCAAGGGTGATGCATGCCCAGCCCCTCCATGGTTCCATGGGCCTTTTCCGTGAGCCTGCTGGGACCAAGGCCACCCACAGAGGGCCCACAAAGCCATCCACCACCGTCCCTCTCAGTACCTTGCCTCAAAGCCTGGGCTCTACCCCGGGCCTCTGTGGCACTGGACTGGTGACCAGCTACCTGTCTGGGCCACCAGGTCGGCCACCCCCACTACCCACCCCGTAGCAGCGCATACCTCAGCATTCCTGCAATGTGTGTGCATCGCAGACATCTGTATATGTGAGGATTGAAAATCTATTTTCGTTACAAGAGCAAAGCAAGAATGATCTTAAAAAACAAAACAGTTCCCAAAGCTGCCTGCATGTGCATTGTGTATAGCGGACTTGTAGTCTCTGGGTCAGGCTGGTGGGCAGGGAGGGGCTGGGCCCCAGCCAAGCTTTCCGCGTGGACCTGCTGCTCGGCCTGCCTGTTTCCCCAGCTTCACCCTCTGCTCAGTCCGCCTGGGGGCACTGCTTCCCCAGTGACAAGAGACTGTGGACTGTGAGCCCCTGCTGGGAGAGGCAGCCCCTCCCAGCTGGACTGCAGCTCTGTCTGGACCAAGTGGCTCCAAACTTGCAAGGGGGATGCCAGCTGGCTTCTGGAGCCAGCCTCGTCCCCTGGCTTCTGGAGCACCCTGAGGACACCTCCACGGAGACCCCCTGAGCCAAGGAGTCCCTGTCCTCATCCCCTGCCCTGCCCCTCCCCAGAGCGGCAGCAGCCTCTTCCAGGATGCCTGGGCAGCCTCCACACAGGCCTTCCTGCCTTCAGCCTGGGCCTCTCAACCTGCCTGCCCAAGAGAGGGTCCTCCCCACCCCTTCTCCTACTCAGATTCCTGCCTCGGCTTCCCCAGATATGTCCACTCGGGTGTTCAGCCTGTGGCATGAGTGGCAGGCTGTCTCCCGTCCCTTCTAGGCGGCTCAGAGCCCCTCCCGAGGCACAGTCCCCAGCAAGGCTGTTCCTGCCCACACAGTCCCAGCCAGACCCAGCCTGGGCCCCACACAGGAACGAGTGAGTGAGGGGATGAACAGCTGGCAACCTGACTGTCGCCAACTGGACCTTTATTGATGCAGAGATGAAACAGGCACAGAGGGTGGGAGGGGGTGAGACAGCCCCCAGGTCTTCCTAGGGCTCCTCCTTTCACTTTGTCTTCTGTTGCTGCTACAGCGGACACTTGTTCTAAGAGAAGCGGAGGGAAGGTAGCAGGATGGGACAGGGTAGGGTCACGGATCCCTGCTGCCTGGCCCCTCTGAGCCTCAGCTTCTTCACCCTGAGATAGGGCTCAAACCCCAGCCAGAGCCAGCATTGCCTTCCTCCTGCCTCTGCCGCATCCCTCCAGACCACCCCGAGGCGGCAGGGAACCTGTCCCAGGTCCCCCAGCCGAACACTGTGTCTGGGGCAGAAGGCCAGGGCTAGGGTACACCAGCTCAGGTGTGCAGGGTACAGATGTTTCACTTTAATAATGAAGACAGCATCACACGTCTGTCAAGGCAAGCGTCACCGCTCACCAGCTCCGATTTAGCAGATATCATGGCTGTGCGTGGGCATAAGCTTGGAGAAAAGAGTAAGGAGCCCGTTCTACAGGTTGCTGTCATGTGTAACAAAAGTCAGGATCAAGGTCCAGGACTTGATGCGGCTGAGGTGTCATCGAAAGCCTGGATACCCATTCCCCAAAGCCTGGGTAGTAAAAGCGGGGGATGGGGGTGGGGAGTGACTAAAGGCCAGGTCGGTGGTGATCACAAGTGATACTTCGCACGTGGGTCTCTCCCGGGTGCCCGCCTGCCCCAGGGTCCTCCCGGGTTCCGCGGGGGTCCTCCCTCCCTCCCGGGCGCTCACCTCCCACCCCGCTCTCTGTGGCTCTCAGCTGTCCCCGCAGGAAAGCGAGTCCTGGCGGCACACAACTGCCTCGTCTTGCCTGTGCTGCGCAGCCCGCAGCCCTACGTCCCTGGGCCTCGGGATGTCCCGGATGGGCCCGCGCCCGGCGGCCTGAGGCCCCCGTGCTTACCTTTTTCCAGTCCACGCACAGGATCTCCGACGTGCGCAGGCCCACGCACCGGATGGCCTCGCGGAACTCCTCCAGCGGCTCGCTGCTGGCCTCTGGCGCGTCAGCTGCGCAGGGCAGGAGAGAGAGAGGCTGCTGCGGAGGGCGGGG